AGACCTATTAATCTAGAGACGCACAAAATGTCCTGGGGACTTGGATTCGAATCCTTACATGGCAGATGGTGGAATTTGAATTCAATAGAAAAAAGTCTGGAATTAAGAGTTTAATGGTGACCATGAATCCAATGTCAATTGTTGGAAAAACCCACCTGGTTCATTAATGTTCTTTAGGGAAGGAAACTGCCATCCTTACCTGGTCTCGTCTACACATTACTCCAGACCCACAGCCATGTGGTTGACTCTCAACTGCCCTCTGGGAAATTAGTGATGAGCAATAAATGCTGCCTGGCCAGTGACACCCTCATCCCATGAATGAATTAAAAAGCTGTAATTTGTGGTCTGGAGTCTGATTGTCCAGGAATAAGTTGGGCCCATTCCAAACTGCAGGCAGAGTGCACAGAAAGTCTGGAAGTCAAAGGCACAGCTGCTTGGTGTTGAAACAACGGATCAGAACATGCTGCATGTAGACACACTGTACAAAAAAAAGGCCTCTCCTTTGTGAAATCTAGTGTTCAGTTATTCTGTGTTTGATTACTTGAGGCTGATCCGTATTCACTGTGCTTGACTGATTACGCCTGGATGTGGATTCAGAGCAAACAAAAAGAGAACAGACACCACAGATGGTGCTGAGAGCTGAAGCTGAGAAAAGCACACTTCAGACATTTTGTGGCTGCAGAGATATTTTAAAACTTTTGTAAATAACACTATTGAAAAATTAGAAGCCACTATCATCTCTTCATTGCTGTGAAATATAAAATACTTCCAGTTTCTATAAATGTGGATTAGCCTTTGCTCAATGGCTGCACTCTGTTCCAGAAAGTCATACATTTTAGTTACAATCTAAAGACTCCAACCAGTCAATGGAGTACCGAAGGGAGTGCTGCATAGGTGGAGATGCTGTCATCTGGACGAAATGTTAAACTTTGATCAGATATGTCCTTTCATGCAGCAAATAAAAGATCCAAAGGCAGTACTTATTTAAAGAATAGAGAATTTCTCACTCATACATATCATTCATCCCTCAATCAGTGAAAGAGATTATATGGTTAATTGTCCCAAAGCTGTAGGATCTTGCTTTGTGCAAATTTGTGCCACATTTCTTATATTAATGTTGACTACACTTAATACACCTTGAGGTGCTCTAAATGAAGACAGGCACTATACAAATACAGGACTGTCCTTTCTTCCAGTGTTTGTTGAATTTTGAGTGAAGTTTGTTCATTTGAATTGACACACAGTGCAAACGCACCTAGTTCAATATGGTCATTGTAGATATTCACATCAAATGCATTTGATGGAATGAAGTGTGACAATAAGGGGAGTGGATAATTCACTGCTCAATCTGCCCAGTACAGCGAATAGCATTGCAGATCCTACATTGAGTACAAAGGCAGGTCAACATTCAAGCTGCACAGGGCACGGAGGCTATTGGCAAATCTTCTACTGCCATCTTCTGGCCACCTTTATATAAACTGACTGCTGCAGATGTCAAACTCAAGGATGTTTCTGCCACAAATCTTACAGGGCCTTCTTTACAGAGTCCAGGAAATGCCGAAACTCCAATATCCAATCAGCATTATTGAAAACATGATAATCCAGCAAACAGATCAGTAAACAGAAATCTAACAAAATGAGAAAGAAAATAAGGCTTCTATTGATGAAGGACATTTCACAACTTGTCCTAGAGTGTTCTATAATCAAAAAAAGTGCTATTGAAATGTGCTCACTAAAATGTAACAGACACAGCAGCCAATTTACAAAAATCCCCACTTACAGCATTGCGATAACATGCTTTGTTAGTGGAGTTTAGAGTCATAGACTTATAGAGCTGAACAGCATGGCAACAGACCCTTTGGTCTAACTTGTCCATGCCGACCAGATATCCTAAACTGATCTAGTCCCATTTGCCAGCATTTGGCCCATATACCTCTAAACCCTTCCTACTCATATATCCATGCAAAGGCCTTTTAAATGTTGTAATTGTATCAGCTTCCACCACTTCCTCTGGCAGCTCATCCCATACACGCACCAACTTCTGTGTGAAAAAGTTGCCCCTTAGGTCCCTTTTAAATCTTTCCCCTCTCACCTTAAACCTATGGCCTCTAGTTTTGGACTCCCCTACCCTGGGGAAAAAACCTTGGCTACTCACCCTATCTATGCCCCTGACGATTTTATAAACTTCTATAAGGTCACCCCTCAGTCTCCAACACTCCAGGGGAAATAGCTCCTGCTTATTCAGCCTCTCCCTGTAGCTCAAACTCTCCAACCCTGGCATCATCCTTGTAAATCTTTTCCGAACTCTTTCAAGTTTCACAACATCCATCCTATAGCAGGGAGACCAGAATTGAATGCAGTATTCTAAAAGCGGCCTAGCCAATGACCTGTACAGCTGCAGCATGACTTCCCAACTCCTATACTCAATGCACTGATCAATAAAGGCATACCAAACACCACCTTCACTATCCTGTCTACCTGTGACTGCACTTTCAAGAAACCTGCACCCCAGGGTCTCTTTGTTCAGCAACACTCCCCAGGACCTTACCATTAAGTGTATGAGCACTGCCCTGACTTGCCTTTCCAAAATGCAGCATCTCACATTTATCTAAATTAAACTCTATCTGCCACTCCTCGGCCCATTGACCCATCTGATCAAGGTCCTGTTGTACTCTCAGGTAATCTTCTTGGCTCTCAGCTGCAGCACCAATTTTATTGAAGTATAAATATTTACGTGGTCGCCAGAAATAACCTCCTGTTGTTCTTCACGGTAGTGCCACAGAATTTTTCATGCCAATCAAAAGAGGCTTCAATTTAACATTTCATCCAAGTGAAAACCTGACTGACAGTGCTACACACCCTCAGTACTATACTGGAGTGTCAGCCTTTTGTGCTCAAGTTACTGCAGTCACTGTAACTGACCCATCCAGAAATGCGTTCACAACTGTCTATTTGGAACGGATGTTGAGAGCTCCTATCCACCGTGACTATGGTGCAGTAATTAGCATTTGTCTCCCAACACTTGTTGTTTGTAATCACAGTAAGAGTAAGCTTCCATTAATATGCATGGATCTCCCGTGAACCTCAAATTAAACTTACCCATGAAGTGATGGAAGCCATGTCTGCAATGGCTAAATTATACATTAGAATGAACTGTGAAACATAAGTTTATATCGGAAGTCAAAATCTTTCAGGCTTCACGTTTTGGAGGCCCTGACTAGTCCTAACCATCACCACCCTACGCCATGCAAATCTGAGCTCCCCTTTAAAATCTAACCCTGTCCCTGGGTCCCCAAAGAGTCATTTTCACTGTTTACTAAAAGGTTTTTGACCATCGGTAATATGACATCATCCAAAAGGTTATGTTCTTCAATTTAAAAAAATAGCTCTTGTGTTTCAAACACAGACAGAGTCTTTGAGCCAGCCACTAGCTAATTTATCCAGACTGATTTGCGCACTTGCTTTGACTGGCAAAGTAACAAAAGAAAACTCAACACCTAAGAACTAACTATTGTTTCCATTTTATATAATCCTGACCTACTTACAATTTAAATGAGACGTTATAATCTTGACCTGTTAGAAATTATACAGGACTGGGCTTGGTTCCTGTCACACTTTCATTTCTTAATAGTTTATTCTATCCAATTCAAGATATTGCCAACAGCTGGTGACTCTTTGCAAGCTCTCTACAGCAGGTCTAATTCTCACTCTTTTTTACAACCGTTCGGCACTTTTAAACCTAAATTCTAAGTCTATAAAAATTACTCTAATGTTGACCTTGCTTTTGTGCACCTTCTGTGTAGCTGTAACCTTGTATGCCTCACTCTGTCTAAGCACCCTACGATCTGTATGTCCTTGCTTGTTATGGTCTTCCTGTACTGCTTGCAAAACGAAACTTTTCACTGTACTCAGGTACATGTGACGACAGTAAATCAAATTATGTCTTACAGAAGTGTATCCAATTTGCAGCATTTGGTGCCTCTTGGATCAGACCATTAAAGAAACATAATAAATACACTTTGATGTCATGCACTACTTCGCAGAATTATATAACATTCTTGAGAATAAATAATTATTTGTCCCCGAGTGCTCCTGTCAACGTACAACATGGAGAATCAGACCTGCTGTCATTGGCCATCATTTTCAATTCATTACACTACAGACAAATCTCAAAAGGATGAGTATCTCTCAGACTCTCACAACATATCTGCAACTAGAAGCTGAAGGGGTAAATCAGTTCTGCTTCTTGAGACAACAAACAAACCAGATCAAACAGAATTCAGAATCCGAGGGACACTCAGAGGAGGTAAAAATGGAATCATAGAGTTTTTACAGCACGGAAGAAGGTCCTCCTGTCAATCGTGCATGTGGGAGGTGGTCTTGAAGCATTTAAGGAGAGTACTCAGGGTAGGAGGGTCATTTGAGACCTCAGTGGCAGTTCCTTCCCTTTTGCAAGTCACTCCAGACCCAGGCAGGTGTCTCATGCTTGTGGTTACGAGCCCAGCTCAATGGCAGGAAGTTGGGTGCTGATGGTCGATGTCGTGGTTGTCCCCTTCACATAACGAGCTCCCAGGGAGGAGTCACGCGGCCTGCTGGTCCCATCAGGGGTGGAGTGAAAATCTGCACGACACGTGAGCAGTTTTGTTTCCAGTCCCATGTGACACTTATCGCTTGGAGCTGGCGTACTTGGTCACCACCTTTGTGCCCTCTGACACGGTGTGCTTGGCCAGCTCTCCAGGGCAGCAGCAGGCACATGCGGCTTGGTTCTCCCAGGAACTGATGGCGCTGCGCTTTTTCTCATGGTCCAGACAGGAATGTGCTCAAAATATCATTGACAAAGGAATTCATGAAGTCTCATGGCCTTGGGGGAAATGCTGGGGTCGGAGAGGACCTTTGTAGATGTAGGTAGTGTCACTTTCTTTCCTGGATTTTCTCCTTTTTTTGCCACTCTTCATTGGTGGCCTCTTCACCGCGTTCTCAACACCTTCTTGGCAACTTCTTTTCCTCAACCGTGGTGACAGTCAACTTAAGACACATGTGTGCAGACTTACCCAGCAGTTGAATGGAGAGCAGGGGCGTGTAAGGGCCGTGCAATATATTCTGTAAATAATTACATTTAGTTTTATTGAATCATTGCGTTTTACAAGTTAAAACTTGTACACTCAGCAGAGCCAAGCTTTGAAGTTATTACGATGGGAAAAATCAAGAACCGTGCAGGTTAATGGCTGCTTACTGTCTGTGTATCCTTCAGGGAGGAGGCTGATATCTCCTTGAAGCACACATGAGGAAGGCAATGGCAAACCGTCTCATTCATTCTTTCCCCCAGTGATACTGACATTGAAAACGGGAGGATGTTACAAGTAACTGAAGAGGAAAGCACAGAGAACCTGCCCTTACACAGTCCACCACTTGGATAACTACTAGAAGTGACTTCACTATCCGAACCCTCATAAGAAGTAGCTGAGATGTAGAATGCACAAACTGATGGGATGGCGAATAAAGACACGATTGCTGCCTTCAGGAGGGAACTGGTAAATCTTTGAAGGAGAAAAGATTTTAGGGCTGTGGGGAAAAATTTAGGGAGTTTGATTAAACGGATCAAAGAGCCTTTACAGAACCCATACGGTGGCTCAGTGGTTAGCACTGCTGTCTCAGCACCAGGGACCTGCGTTCGATTCCAGTCTCAGACGATACTCTATGTGGAGTTTGCACATTCTCCCTTGGCCTGTATGGGTTTCCTCCGGGTGAGCCAGTTTTCTTCCACAGTCCAAAGATGTGCAGGCTAGGTAGATTAGCTATGGGAAATCCAGCGATAGGGTAAGAGGGCGGGTCTGGGTGGGATGCTCTTTGAAGGATCAGTGTGGACTTGTTGGGCTGATTAGCCTGTTTCCACACTGTAGGGATTCTATGAATCGATGGTCACAGAATCAATTAGCCATGTTGCCATCTTCTGTGCTGTCCTATTCTATGATTAATAAGGGGCAACAGAACAGTAAGGTAAAATAGAATGGGTGTGAGCATAAACAAGGGCATTTGGGTTAATAGCCTATTCAGGCTGCAAAGTCAACCAAATTCTATGGAATTTGCTGCAAGAGATTCTCACTCCTGGTTCCATAGTGGAGGACTTGGAAAATGGAATTGAATGCACACAGGCTGTTTCATTAGCATGGACTGTGGATTATTGCAATCTTCAGAGGTAACTGCATCAGATTTGAAGAGGAGAATTTATTGATAAATTGTCATTTCTATTGATTATTTGTCTCTGATTGTTTTTTATGGACCAGGCATCATAAGCTCTGGTCTGAAATTCTGTTAAACATTTCCTCACCTCACCTCACCTTTCTGCCTAATTCATGTTAAAAAGCCAACATTCACTGTGCCCAGAGATAGTAGGAACTGCAGATGCTGGAGAATCCAAGACAACAAGGTGCAGGGCTGGATGAACACAGCAGGCCAAGCAGCATCACTGTGCCCAGTTGGAGAGTGCAAATTGGAAACTGGAGGATAAGGTCACGATTTTTTTGTACTGTTTCAGTTAGAAAAAGAGGCTGGAGGCAAAGTCAGTTGCCCTGTGGCATGCTTTGGAGGCCTAGAGATAACACAGTGTGGAGCTGGAGAAACACAGCTCCACACTGTGTTATCTCTGACTCCAGCATCTGCAGTTCTTACTATCTCATTGGAGGCCGAGGTATTTTTAATCTGTGCTAGTATAATCGCGTATTTGGATAAATGGAGACTTTCTGTGTCAAGACGAGTACCCCTCATGCCTACCAGCTGCACACTCCTTCAGTTTTTAAAGTGTGTAAGGCTCACAAGGTCCTTGGCTTTCAATTAACTTCACATCTAGTTAACTTGACATCTGTCTGAAGGTGTTAGAATCGGTTATTAAGGAAGTTACAGAATCATACAGTGCAGCAGAGGCCCTACAGCCCATTGAGTCTGCACTGACTTGTGAGAAACACCTGACTTTCAACTTAATCCCATTTACCAGCACTTAGCCCATAGCCTTGACTATCATGGCATGCCAAGTGCTCATCTAGGTACTTTTTAAAGGATGTGAGGCAACTCGCCTCTACCACCCTCCCAGACAGCACATTCCACACCGTCACGACCCTCTGGGTAAAATAAAGGTTTTCCTCACATCCCCCCTAAACATCCCACCCTTCACCTTGAACCCATGTCCCCTCCTGACTGACCCTTTAACTAAGGGAAACAGCTGCCCCTTATCCACTCTATCCATGCCTCTCATAATCTTGTAGACCTCAATCAGGTTGCCTCTCGGTCTTTTCTGCTCCAAAAGCCCCTATCCAGTCTCTCCTCATGACTTAAATTTTCCATCCTATGCAGCATTGTGGTGAATCTCCTCTGTATCTCTCTCCAGTGCAATTACATCCTTAGTGTGATGTGGCGAGCTGAACTGTACACTGTATTGTAGCTGTTGTCTCGCCAAAGTTTCCCTGCTTTTGTAATCCATGCCTTAATTGATAAAGGCAAGTGTCCCATATGCCTTTTCCACCATCCACTCACAGGTCCTTCAGGTTAAAACTGGATACTTGGGAAAACTCAAGGTAATTGGAAAGAGTCAGCATGGTTTTATGAAAAGGATATTGTGTTCAACCAATTTACTCGAATTCTTTGCACTGTTAGTAAAAGAGGACATGTTGATGTACTGCACTTGGATTTCCTGAAAGTCATTTGACAAGTTTCTACATTATGCAACATAGGAGCTCATGGTATGGGGGGATAACATACCAGTGTGGATAGAACATTGGCCGGCTAGTAAAAACAGAGATGGATGTTGTTTAGGTTGGCAGCATGTGATAAGTGGGATCCCACAGGTAGCTCTGCTGAACCCTCAACCTTTTGTAATTTATGTCAATGACTTAAATGAGGTGACTGAATGCATGAAGACTAAATTTGCAGGTGACACCAAGATAGGGAGGAAAATATGTCATGAAGATGACATAACAAGGATGCAGACCAATATAGGTTGAGTTGAGTGAATAAAAATCTGGCAAAATGAATATAATGTGAGAAAATGTAAGGTTGCTCACTTTGGCAGGAAGAATTAAAAAAAAACAAGTATTATTTAAACAGTAAGTGACTGCAGAGTTCTGGTTTGTAGAGGGATCTGGGTGTTCCAGTGCATGAGTCACAAAACGTTAGTGTGCAGGCACTGCAATCATTTAGAAAAATCAATCACATTGTTATGGGTCTGGAGTCACATGTGAGCTAAACCAGACAAGGACTGCAATTTCCTTCTCAAAAAAGAAAGTAGTGAACCAAATGGGTTTTCCCAATAATCAGCAACAGTTTTATGGTCATCATTAAATGCTTAATTCCATTTTTTTGTAAATTGAATGCAAATTTCACCATTTGCTGTAGTAAGATTTGAACCCATGTGCCCAGATTATTATCTACAACACTGGATTAATAGTCTAGTGACAATACCACTATGCAATGGCCTTCCCTGAACCTATGAAAGTCCTGACAAGTGAACAGATAGCCTGACTAGCTAATAATCAAGAGGAAAAACTTAGGCCAGTGTTTTCCCTCCCACAATATTTAGGACTGAATCAAACTGAAGTCAGTTTTGATACATTGCCTCCAACCCCAGCTCAACACTAACTAACTGAACAGCTAACTGAGTGCAGGCAATGAACAAACCTATAGCTCTCCTGCCTCGTGGCCCCAGTGCTTTGGCCACTTACTCACTGACAGATTATTCTACACATAAGGGCTTCCCAAAATGGGGAATGGGTGGAGTCACAAGCTGAATTTTTGGAGTTGTGAACTCAGAGGCAACGATGGTCCACTGTGGAGTTCTGGCCCCCTCCTACCACTCTCATGGGTGTTGTGTTCCTCCCATCCCCTGCTCTCAGAAGTCTTCACCATCCACTTCCCCCAACTCCCCCCATCAATTAGTTCTCACAGACAGATCTTGACCATTTTCAAGCGTCGAAATGGGGTCACAGTAGGAAACAGTTTGGGTACATGGCTTATTTTTATCCTGTCCTGTTTTGTTTCTCTGGTAGGTGTACAGGTCTACCCACTTGAAGCGATGGAATCTTAGCCAGACTGTTACAAAAAATCTCTCTCATTTCATCAAACACACCAGTTCCAGAAAACTTAAATAATTCAGCAGTGTTCTTCTCCTACAGGGGGTAAAATGCTCATGAGAGATGCAAGGGTCAATTAAACAACTCTTCCTTCGCCTTTAACAGTAGGGGGCTGCAAACATAGTTATTGGATTTTCTCTGCGATCTGGGGATGTAACCGCAAGCTTGATTCATTACTTCATCCAGTCAGGCAAAATTAGCTCCATCTTAGTGCCTATCTTCAAAGTGCATTACTCTTTTCTTTTCCCAATGCTTATTTTTCTTGGCTACCTCAGCTTGATTTCTCTGTGAAACTTATCGTCTAATTAATACAAGCCATCTCAGGCTTCTTAAGAATAGACCAGCCTTTGATGCCTACTCTGTATCAACTCAGTTGCTGATTCTTCCATCAACTTAGACAATTGCTTTTTTTTGTTAGTCTTGTCACCAGATCCATGTCACCAGCTCTATGGAGCCTCTTTCAGTCAGAGAGGCCACACACATTCCTCAGACATTCCTAATTAGTTGTCAATGGTTTGACCTTGTTGACAATTTGCCTCCATCCCTGCCCAATTTACCCCCGGGTCTGGGTCAACAACATTGCACCTCATCATGTATTGTTGTATCTAGGTAAGGAAAAGCACCTTAAATAGTGAAAAGTCAAAGTCGTTGTACTCCAAGAGGACCAAAGACTGCTCTCTCATTAGATATCAGGAGGAGAGGGACACCACATAGATATTCAGGTCCTTGAGGCAGATAGGAGAATAAAGTGTTTTGCATCTCAAAGGACAGAGGACAAAATTCTACTTTGGACATGTTGATCAGCTTCCTGTTACATACCCTCCTGTTCACTGCACTCCCTCTTCAAACACCCAAGTGTGCTTCACCTGCCCATTAAATGCAAACTTGGTGTATAATGGGTAGGGTATGTGAGGGATGAGGTATGTAACAGGTAACGTGATACGCATGGGTTTATGAAAGTGACAGCCAGGAGCAAAATGAAATATTTCAGCCAGCTCGCCTTAGGGCATCACAGTCCATAAACCCGTCCCCACCTATTAATCGCCAGGGAGGATGTGAAACTGGATCGAAACACAAGGCAACTGGACAGAGCAAGGGGACTCAAAAAGATCTCTCTGGCCCCTTAGAAAATAGCCAGGAGAGCACCTTGGCCCTCAGCGACATGCTAGGATACCTCTCCATCTGTTGTAGAAGGTGACCTCAGTGCAGCCAGAATCAGGTCCTGTGCCCATTTCAAAGAACTCAGTGAATCATTACACACAGTGTCAGCCTGTTTCCTAATTAGTTGTCAATGTTCAAGAGGTCAAACCAATTTGCCTCCATCCCTGCCCAAGTCACCCCCAGGTCCACCATTCTCTAGGGCAAGAACAAAAAAAACCTAATGATCTGCCTTTAGTTCAACCCCTGGGGCCCTTAACCTATTCAAGCCAGAACTTTCATTCTTCCGAAAACCTCAATCAAATCACCATCAACCACAGTCAAGATCATCAAGATTTTAAAGGGTTAGGATTAAGTAAAAAACGATCGCTTGTTTGTACAGTTGTAGCTGGCACTAAGCTAAGGTAGGACAAGAATAAAAAGGTGAGTGAGTGAGAAGAAAGTTCTTTACAAAGAGGGTTTTTAAACTATTATGAATCTTGCTTACTCTCTAACTCTGAAAACACAATCTTGTTCTTGACACCCCACATACTACACCAAGAAAGTTTAACTGGTAGCATCAGTGTGTAAGTGGTTCTGCAAAGAACAGCATAATTTAGTTATGACAAACATGTAAGGAAATCATATTTGTCAGCCAGCGGCAGAGAGAGGCCAATTAATTTATTATTCTGTGATGCTTTAATTAAAATGGAAAATGCTTTGAAGATTCTATATCTTGCTGATTTCTCTTTTTATGTCAAAATTGAATTCTCAAAGGAATAAAATGTCCAAATATTTTCAAAGAAGATAAACTTTAGCTTGTGTTCTTGTGTGGTTATGAAATGTTGGGTTAATATTTTAATATGAAACTGTGCTTTTCTAGAAGAAATCAAAATGCTTGCTACTCTCTTTTTGTTAAGCTGAGCAGAAACTCTTGTTTTCTTGACCCTACTGAGAACTACTTTTGTTAAATTTCCCATAAATGTATGAAAATCAGTTTATCTTTAAAAATGATTTAATGACTTTCAGAAGGAGAAGGATATCATGAGATGTTTGGCTGGGGAGGGTTACCTATGTGACTCATCTATGATGGAGAACAATGGTCTTTAACCGATTAACTCTCAGGACTTGTGTTTTATGTGGTGTTTCCTCCACATTTGTACCCAATTCTGCCTACATTGCAGTGGTCTTGGGACTCAGTGGTTAACATCCCTGCCTCTTTGGGTTCAAGTCGCACAACAGGGAACTTGATGGCAAATGAAGGTGCATTCGCCTTTTGGCCAAACAGTTTGAATATTGACCCGCAACACAGATGGTTAAGAGAAACAGTCAGACTTGCACCTACAGATTTACAGCAGGGAGACAGTCATAGAGTCACACAGCACGGAAACAGATCCTTCGGTCCAACTCATCCATGCCGATCAGATATCTTAACTTAATTCAGTCCTATTTTCCAGCATTTGGCCCATATCCCTCTAAACCTTCCCATTCACATAAGCAGAGGTCATTCTGCCCATTGTGTCCATGCCAGTCATCCCATCGAATCCCATTTCCCAGCACCTGGCCCATAGCCTCACACACTATTGTGCTTTAAGTGATCATCTAAATATTTCTTAAATGTTGTGATGGCTCCTACCTCGACCACCATTTCAGGCAGCGAGTTTCAAGTAGCCATCACTCTCTGGGTAAACCTCTAAACCTCCTGCTCTTTACCTTAAATCTATGCCCTCTGGTTATTCACTCCTCTATTAAGGGAAAAGCTTTCTCCTTATCCAATCTACCTATGCCCCTCACAATTTTGTATGCCTGAATTTGGTCTGCCCTTCTCTGCTCTAAGGAAAACAATGCCAGTTTCTCTATTTTCTCTCCATTGCTGAATCGCTCCAGACCAGGCAACATTTCACAATGAGTCTCCTCTCTAATGCAATCACATCCTTCCTAGAGTGCGGTGACCAAAACTGTACACAATACTCCAGCTACGGCCTAACCAACATATTATAAAGCTCCATCCTAACTCCCTTGCTCTTGTATTCAGTGTCTCAGGTAATAAAGGCAAGAACTGCATTTGCAAAATGAACCTGCTGGACCTCTATTTTAAAATACCCAAGGCGAGATGGACCAGTAAGTGTTGTTCACCAGTTTTTTTGGGTTTTCCTTCTGCCAGTGGCAGGCAGTAAAAACAGGAGAGATTCCTGGTCAACCATATGATGGAAAGAACTTTGGAATCTCTGCATCACTATCTACAGTCCCAGGACTGGTATGTGTGAAAGTGCATGTTGTAACTGCAACTCAGACTCTGAGTGAACTGGAATACACCACCATTGAACCATCATGCAGTATATAAGATGCTGGAGTTTGAGATATAAGGGCCTTATTGTTTAATCACAATACATATGAGTCTCTTTGACCTTTCTCCAACTTCCTCCACTGAAACAAATCTCTGCCATAAAACTGGACACATCCTGATTTACAAATGTGAATAGCCTCAAATTTTACATTGTTTTAAGTTGGGGGAGACATAGGTCCCTGAACTTTATGACCATTTTTTTCTGTCATAGTCATTTCTCTGGTCTTTTAGTTCCAATTTCCTCTGTTTATTAAAAATGAATGTACACTCATGCTGATCGTATACTATCTCTTCTATAGTCCTCTTTATGTCATAAGTCACGTGAAACATTGAAGCATTTCTCTGTGCACACTGTCAAACTGCAGTGCAGAACTAACAGTGAAATGAACAAAATAACTCGAAGAATAAATATACTGATGTGCACTTGCTGACCCTTTTGTCCATGCAGGTTACACAAATTTGTTCCAAATCATGTCAATATAATATCAAAGAATCATATTCTAACGATACCTGAGGTGCAATTTAACATCACAAAATCTGGGCTCTGCATTGAGCATATTGTCAGTTTGTTTCCAAGGAGGATACTCCAGTTTAAGATGTCTGAGAGGGAGTTATCCAACTGGTTCCTGAAATTGGACAAAAGAAAGACTTCAATTATTTTGCACATTTCATAAGTAAAGTATGTGACAGCTAATTAATTTTTATTTTGAGGTTTATTCACTCTTGTAATGTTGGAAAATCAGCAGGCAATATGGGCATTGCAAGCTCTCACAAACAGCAATATGATCATCGTTGTATATGGCTCTCAAACTGTTAATATCTGGAAGTGTGTGATTAATACCAAGCACTGTGATGATATAACATAGACACCCAGAGAGTCAGTCTTAGTCAGGCAGTGCACAGATGTTTCCAGCACAAACAGCAGCCCAGGTAAAAGTACTCATCCACCTTGCCTGTAGCTCACAGCCATGCAATAAACTTCTTACTGTTCACTTTACCCAATTCTTGAGATTTACAAATTTTAAAAAAAAACTGTGGATGCTGGAGATCTAAAACAAAAACAGAAATTGCTGGAAAAACTCAACTGTTCTGTCAGCATCTGTGGGAAGTAAGCAGAGCTAACATTACGACTCTTCATCAGAAGTGCTGGTTATAGGGAAAAAGTGATATTTATGCTGAAGCCAAGGTGGACTAGGAAGCAGTGTGTGAGGATGTATAGTCAAGGTAATTGTAGGAATCAGTCATTATGTAGTGGATATCATGGCACCTTTTTAAACTGAAAACCTTTTGCCTCTATGTGGTCCGTATCCCCCCTATTCGCTGCCTATTCATATATCTGTCAAGATGTCTCTTAAATGTTACTATTATATCGGCTTCTACCACCACCTCTGGCAGCAAACTCCAGGCACTTCCCACCTTCTATGTAAAAGAACTTGCCTCTTACATCTCCTTTAAACTTTCTCCCTTTTACCTTAAACCTATGTCTCTTAAAATTGACATATCTATCCTGGGAAAAAGAAACTCCCAACTATCCATTCTTTCCACTACTCTCAAAATCTAAATAACTTCTTTCAAGTCGATCCTCAGCCACTGACGTTCAAGTGAAAACAAACCAGGTTTGTCAATTTGTCCTCATAGCTAAATACCCTCCAAACCAGGCAACATCCTGGTAAGTTCTGAGGAAGGTTCACTTTGTTAACTCTGATTTCTCTCCACGGATGCTGGCAGACCTGCTGAGCTTTTCCAGCAATTTCTGGTTTTTGTAACATCCTGGTACCACTTTTCTGCACCCTTTCCAAAGCCTCCACATCCATCTGCTAGTGCGGAGACCAGAATTATATGCAATATTCCAAATGTGGCCTTAACTAAAGTTCAAAACAGCTGCAACATGACTTGTCAATTTTTATACTCTATGCCTTGACCAATGAAGGCAAGCATGCCACACACATTCTTGACCACCTTACCTACTTGTGTTGTTACTTTCAGGGAATTCCAGACCTATACTTCTAGATCCCTCTGCTTGTTAATGCCATGAAGGGTTCTGCCATTTACTGTACATTTCCCTCCTGCATTTGATCTCCCAAAATGCGACAACTCACACTTGTCGGGATTAAAGTCCATCTGCCATTTCTCTGCCCATGTCTCCAGCCTATCTATATCCTGCTGTCTCCTTTGGTAGCTCTTCCAATCTTTGTGTCATCCACAAACTTATTAATCAGACCACCTATATTCTGTTCCAGAACATTTACATATATTACAAACAACAAAGGTCCCAGCGCTGATTCCTGCAGAGCACCAATGGCCACAGATCTACAGTCAGAAAAAAACCCCTTCCACCGCTACTCTCTGTTTTCTACCACCAAGTCATTTCTGTATCCATCTTACCAGCTCACTACAGATTCCAGCTCACCACACCTTCTGTATCAACCTACCAAGAGGGACCTTGTCAATGGCCTTGCTAAAGTCCACATAGACAACATCCACCACCCTATCCTTATCAATCGTCTTTGTCACTTCCTCAAAAAATTCAAACAAGTTTGTAAGCTGTGAAATCCCTGCACAAAGCCATGCTGCCTATCACTAATACTGAAAGCGAGATATCAAGATGCGTATTGCCTCCCTGGAGGACAGGGTCAAGGATGTCTCGGAGGGGGTGCAGAATATTATGTAAGGGTAGAGTGACCAGCAGGAGGTCGTCAGGCATGTTGATACCAACAACATAGGTAGGGAAAAGGGGTGATGTTCTGCACAGACAATACAGGAAACCAGGCAGTAAGTTAAAAAATAGATCCTCGAGGGTAGTAATATCTGGACTACAGTGTCATGTGCTAATGAGAGGACGAATAGGAGGATAGAGCAGATGAATGTGCGGCTAGGAGCTGGTGTAGGGGACAAGAATTCACACTTTTGGATCATTGGGATCTCTATAAGAAGGACAGGTTCCACCTGAATTGGAAAGGGACCAATATCCTGGCAGGGAGATTTGATAGTGATATTTGGAAGGCTTTAAACTGGTGAGACAGTGGTGGGGGAGGGGAAACCAAAGTGATAGTGAAAGAAGAGAAAAGGCTGAGGTTGGTACAGTAGACAAGGGGAGCAAATCTAAAAGTCAAGGCAAACAAGAGCGTGGCAGAGAATGAGGAAAGTCTCATAAATTAAATTGCATTTACTTCAATGCAAGAGGCCTAACAAGTAGGGCAGATGAACTTAGGGCATGGGTGGGAGCAAGGAACAGGGATCCCATAGCAATTACAGACACATGGCTCAGAGACGGGCAGGACAGGCAGTTTAATGTTCCAGGGTATAGATACTATAGGAAAGATAGAAAGGGAGGCAAGACAGGAGGGGGAGTAGCATTTTTGGTTAAGGATAACATTAAGGCTGTGCTTAGGGAGGATATTCCTGGGAAACCATCCAGTGAAATCATGTGGGTGGAACTGAGAAATAAGAAAGGGATGATCACCTTGTTGAGATTGTATTATAGGCCGTCCCCAACAGTCAGCAGGAAATTGAGAAGGAAATATGTAAGAAGATCTCAGATATCTGCAAGAATAATAAGGTTGCAATGGTAGGGAATTTAACTTTCCAAACATAGACTGGGACATGGAAATCACGTCTCACTAACTTGAATAAGTTTTTTGAAGAGATGACAAAGACGATTGATGAAGGCAAAGCGGTAGATGTTGTCTATATGGACTTCAGCAAAACATTTGACAAGGCTCCACATGGCAGACTGATTAGTAAGGTTACTGGGATCCAAGAGGAGCTATCCCATTGGACACAAAATTGGCTTGAAGATAAGAGAGAGGGTGGTGGTAGAGGGTTTTACAGACTGGAGCCCTATGACCAGCAGTATGCCACAAGGATCAGTGCTGGGTCCACTGTTTTTCATTATTTATGTAAATGGTTTGGATATGAATGTAGGAGGTATGGTTAGTAAGTTTACAGATGACACCAAGATATGTGGTGTAGTAGACAGTGAAGAAGATTATCTCAGAGTACAACAGGGCCTTGATCAGGTGGTCTAATGGGCCAAGAGTGGCAGATGGAGTTAAATTTAGATAAATGTGAGGTGTTGCATGTTGGTAAAGCCAGGGCAGGACTTATACAGTTAATGTTAGGGCCTTGGGAATTGTTGCTGAATAAAGAGACCTTAAGCTGCAGGTGCATAGTTCCTTGAAAGTGGAGTCACAGGTAGACAAGGTGGTAAAGGTGTTTGGCACGCTTGCCATCATTGGTCAGAACATTGAGTATAGGAGTTGGGATGTCATGTTGCAGCTGTACAGGACATTGGTGAGGTTACTTTTAGAATAGTGCATACAATTCTGGTTGCCCTTTTATAGGAAAGATGTTATTAAACTTGAAAGGATGCAGGAAAGATTTACAAGGATGTTACCAGGGCTGGAGTTATAAGGAGAGGCTGCTTAGGCTGGGGCATTTTTTCCCTGGAGCATCTAAGACTGAAGTGTGACCTTACATAAGTTAATAAAATCATGAGGGCATGGATAGGGTGAATAGCCAAGATCTTTTTCCTAAGGTGGGGGTGTCCAAAACTAGAGGACATATGGTGCCCTTATGGTGAAAGGGGAAAGATTCAAAATATAGATCAAGCTGCTAGAGGAAGTCTTGGGGGCAGGTACAATTACAACATTTAAAATGAATCTGGATGGGTATATAAATAGGAAGGGTTGAAGAGGGATTTGGAGCAAATATTGACAAATGGGACTAGGTCAGATTGGGATGTCTGGTCAGCACAGATGAGTTGGACCGAAGGGTCTGTTTCCACGCTGTATGACTCTCTCTGATCAGGTCCCAGGGACTTGCCTGTCTTAATGCTTTTCAAACAAACCCAATACCTCCTTTTTTTATATCGATATGTCCTGGGTTTCCAATATACCCCTTCCAAGACTCAGCATCCACCATGTCCTGCTCCTTTGTGAATACCAACGCAAAGTATTTCTGAAGGACCTCACCCACTTCCTCCAGCTCCACGTATAAATACCCTTCCTTATCCTTGAGAGAACCTACCCTTTTGTTAACTACCCTCTTGCTGCTTATAAAAAAACACTGTGGATTTTTCTTAATTCTGTTTGTCAAAGACATTACATTGCCCCTTTAAGCCCTCTTAATTCCTTGTTTGAGTTCTTTCCGGCTATCTTTGAATTCTTCTGTCTTATCTTCAGATTCCTAAACCTTACGTATGCTTCCTTTTTCTTTTTGACTGAGCTCACAATTTCTCTTGTCATCCAAGTTCCCCGAATCTTATCCTTCATTTTCATGGGATCTGGTGGTTTGGAGCACCACTAAATCCCAACATCTCCCAGAGATAGTAGGAACTGCAGATGCTGGAGAATCTGACATTTTCTGAAGAAGTGTCTAGGCCCGAAACGTCAGCTTTCCTGCTCCTCTGATGCTGCTTGGCCTGCTGTGTTCATCCAGCTCTACACCTTGTATATCTCAACATCTCCCAGGCTGACACTATAGACGTACAAGAACATGGCGACTCCCATGGCAGTTCGGTGCGACTCGCTATTCCGTACGTCCGCTGATGGCATCATGTGAACTTTGCCCTCGATCCACTTCCTCCTTCCTTTTCCGGTGAGGCCGGTAGCAGGTATGGCGCTGATGGGAACTGTGGATGGGTTGATGGATAATCGGGTGGCATCCGCGGTCATCGGATGTTTTATTGGTCGGGCACCCGCGGGTTGTCATTTCTCTGAAAGAGACGGTCTCTTCGGGACGGATATTGATCGAGTGTTTGTGGAGGACGGGGCGGTGAAGCGGGTCGGGGAAGGGGACCGGATCCGGGTCCGGGTCCGGGTCCGAGCGAGGCCTTGTACCCGAGGCCGCTGTCGGCGAGGGAAGAGAGGGAGGATGGTGGGATGCGGCAGAGCCGAGACTTGGGCCTTATTCTCGGGCATTTCACAGAGCTTTGTAGCCAGTGAAGTGTGTTATTGAAAGTTTTTGAAGTGGGGAACAGCAGTTGTCACATCTGCACAGCAAGATCCCACGGAAAGAAACGCAGATAATCTGTTTCTGGCAACGTTTGTTTCAAATATTGATCACGTTACCGGTAGGAACTCCCATGGCCGTCTCTGAAATAGCTCCAAAGGATTTTTCTCTTCAATCGCAGAGAGCTGAAAGGAATCTTTTAAGAGAAACTCAGCAGGTCTGTCAGCATCCATGCACGGAAAAGCATAATTAATGTTTTGTTCCAATGTGGCTCTTCTTTGGGGCAGTTCCTCACCAATTCCAGCACTCCACGTTTTTATGCGCAGTCTATTACCTTTGTGGATTTTTTTAAGAAAGTTCATATCTGGCATCTCAGTGCAGCACTCCATCAGTACTTTTCTACAAAGAGCTGTCCACCTCTGTGTTTTGGTCAGTGGCTGAAGTCAGAAGCTGGAGCCACTCTTCAGAGACTTGAGCACAGACTTCAAGCTGTTATTCCAGCCTGTAGGATCTGTTGCACAGAAGGCTGCTGGAGATTGATAGATCCTTATCCTTGTTTTCACATTCCTCTAGATCTCACTCCTTCCTGTCTCTAACCTTCAGCTCAACAGCCCTCAGTTACATCTGTGCCTTGCAGCTCTGGATCCCTACAGGTCCATGTTTTTTCTTATTCTGTAATAGGCAATCACATCTTGAGCTCTCCGGATGAAGCTTTGGAATTTCATCCCTAAACCTCTCTGCTTTTTTATCTCCCCTGTATAAGTTACTTTTAAAAGCTACCTCCACTTCCAAGGTTTTAATCATATGCTGTGATATCTCCATATGTGGCACAACAGCAGTTTTTGCTTGAAGCAATCTGTATCATGTGTTGGGCTAGCTTACTAAATTAACTTGAGATTTTGGAATACAGTTTCTGCCTCGTTACTAGGCATTGGATACTAGTGGACCTGTCAAAATTTAGGATTATTTTGTGGTTTGCTTGTTTTGGAATGTGTAGAGTAAATAAACAGAGGGCATGAGTGGCACATTGTGGTGATACTTGAAGTTTTTGTGAAGTTGGGAAATGGAAAGAGGGATGAGTTCAACACTTTGGGGAGGTTCTCTGTCCCAACTTGATTTATCCAACCAGAAAATAATCTGAGGTTCTCCACTGTAGTATCTGATTCTGAAGCTTTAGCTTGCAGTGCTAAAGTTGGGTGTCCATTCAGGAATTCACTTTATACTGCTGAACACTTTCCCCTGCTACCTTTCTAACCCTTTACTAATTTCATCTAGTCTCTCCTACTATTGCAACTTAAAGCACTTATGGTACTCTGAATTTATCGTTTCCATGCCATTAACATCTTACAATGATCAGATGTTAACAGAAAAGGAGGCCATTCGCCCTTCCTGTCGGTGCCCATTTTTTTGGAACTGTGGTTCATTTGCTTCTAGTTCCCTGTTCTTGCATGTGTCCCTGCAGGAATACTTCTCCCAAGCATTTGTCCAAAGGCTGCTTTTGTATATCATTATAAGATCTCAGCGTTGAGAGGAGCTTTTAAGCAAAGATGCCCTGGTTGCCCCAGACCTGACACTGAGAATCCGTTTCTTGACTGCTCCCTGCGTTGCCTCCAGTGGCACTACAGTTTGAACAAAGAAGTACCATTGCATTTTTGACGTTGCTGCAGTGCTGGGAATATTAGCGAGAGGTAACCCATTGCTGGGTTACCAAGGCACTGAATCTGATACTTGCCAATTTCTACCTCTGGGGTTTTTACACCAAAGTTACTTTTATAAAACCCAGGCCAATTAGTTGCCTTATTGCCACAGAGTTGAATGGTGGGTTGCATTTGGTGACACAGTACCTGATCTATGAAGCTTTATCTGTTGAAATGATAATTTTGAGTTTCCTGTTTATTTTCTAGGTCTAAAAGATGGTTCAACGCCTGACATACCGCCGTAGGTTGTCCTACAACACCGCCTCCAACAAGAAAAGATTGTAAGTACTGAATGTTGAAGCAGACGAAGGCCATTCAGTGTCTCAAGCCAAAGTTATTGAGATGTACAGGATGGAAACGGACCCTTTCGTCCAATTCGTCCATGCCAACCAGATTTCTTAAATTAATCTAGTCCCATTTGCCAGCATTTGGCTTACATCTGCCTGTAAACCCTTTCTATTCATATACCCATCCAGATGCCTTTTAAATGTTATAATTGTACTAACCTCCAGCCCGTTCCATACACACACTACCCACTGTGTCAAAAGGTTACCCCCAGGTCCCTTTTAAATCTGTCCCCTCTCACCTTAAGCCTCTGCCCTCTAGTTTTGGACTCCCCTACACTGGGGTAAAGGCCTTGGTTATTCACCCTTTTCATGCCCCTCATGATTTTATAACCTATAAGGTCATCCCTCAGCCTTTGATGCTCCAGGCAGAATAGCCCCAGTCTATTCAGCCTCTCCCTATTGCTCAAACCCTTCATCCCTGGCAACATCCTTGTAGATCTTTTCTGAACCCTTTCAAGTTTCACAACCAATTCACTGAGTCCATGGCTCGATCATATCTTGAACTCTGTCTGCCTGCTATTGTTCTGTAACTCTTAATGGCCTTACCTCACTAAAATCCATCAGTCGCATTTTGAAATTTTTTAGTTGATTATCTTGAGAGGGAGTTCCAGATTACCATTGCATTTACTGTAAAGTGCATCTTGAATCGTCTACCACAAAATTGGAGGCTCTGCTTTTTGTTCTGGAGTCTCTCAGCAGAGGAAATAAAATTTCTAAGACAGAGAGAGACAGAGGCGCCATCAACTTTAATCAGCTTAAACACCTCCATTTGATTACCCCATAATGTTGTATGTTCAAGGGAATATATGCTCTTCCAGTTTAACCCTACTGGCATTTGATGTGTTGTATCCAAGAGATGGTCTTGATGTATAATTTTCTTGGGGGGAAAAAACAATTGACCTTTTTCATAATTGTGAAGGTCTCGCACACCTGGGAACCGCATTGTATTCCTGTATACCAAGAAGGTTGGCAAAGCACCAAAGTCTGCATGTGGCATCTGTCCTGGAAGACTCCGCGGTGTAAGTAGTCACTTTACCTTGGAGGGGAGTGGTGGTGGTGTGTGTATGAAATCTCATTGAGCATTCAGGGATTGTGAAGTGCCTACTCTGCAGCTACAGTCTGGCCTTTGAGTATCTTTGTTCTGGCTTCTCTTTTGAAATGCGGTGGAATCACAGTTTAGTGATCTGATGGGGTATGGAAATGCCCTAATAATTTCCACTGGCGCAGCAAGAAGAAACTTATGTTTCTTGTTGTTCGAATAATGCATAGTTTTGAAAGTGCAAAGGGAAGGCCATATGTTTATCACTGATTTTGGGAGTCTTTGATAAGGGCCATCAGTTTAAAATTGTCACTCAGGATGAAGGTTAAGGAATACTTTTTTGACCTAGAAATATTTCAGTGCCTGATTGAGGTAGAGGCCAGTGCATCAGACAAGTGGCCAAGCAAAGAAAGATGTATAAATGCCTGGTAAGCAGAGTGTGTTTTGGATTGTTGTGGCAAAGAACTGGTCCAGGCAAAAAGGAGGAATAGTCTCCATCTGCAATGAAACATCTGTGGGCCAGTGCATTGAGAAAGCACTGGTTTCCTCTATGCTGCAGATTTAGCTTTTTCAAGTCCTGAATACTTTAGCATTTGGCCCTGCCATGGTGGGCTGGCAAAGTAAGATCAGCGCCGTGCTGAGAAGAATCAAGTTTAAAATTTAAATTGAGGCAAAGGATTCCTCTGTATACGTGAATTGACATAACATAGTCAACATCCTGGTTTGTTATTTGAGTGAACTAAATGTCAGACTCCAACGTTGTCATATTTTTCAGGGTTGAATCAGTGAGAGAGCAGGCTTATTGCTTTTTGCGAGAGCACTTTGCTGGCAACTTGTTACATTTTCTTCTTGGGACGCATTATGATTGTTTCATCATTACCTGACTTGCCTCCATTTTTCTGTTGTATGTCAAGTTGTGAATTAAATTGGTGATTTGAATTTATTGATGCATATTTAGATTTGAATAGCACTTTGAAGTGTAGCTTTTACAGGTAATATGAATACTTAAATTTGAAACTTCGATAGTATGAACATTTGTACAGGCAACTGATTCATTGAAGATCCACCTCATGTTAAAACTTTGTTTGTCAGTCTTTAGTTCATTCCTTCCTGGTAAGCCTTTATTAGTTTGAAGTAATGTCCAAAAGTCTGATGAGGTTCCATGGCGCGGTGACTAGAGTTCCTGCCTCTGAGCCAGAAGCTCTGTGTTCAAGTCCCACTGCAGCACTTGATGGCCACTGTAGGTTTGTTGATGGTGAACTACAAATCATTTCAGGTGGTAGCAGCACATGGACACTGACACATTGGAGTCTCCACCATCACTGTCCATAGCTCTGGATTTAAACACTCACTTAAAAGTGTGTTCCCACAGTAACTGAGACTCCCAATGACTCTCAAGAGTCTGACAGAAATCCAAATCTTGTACTGTGTAAAGAAACTCATTTTCAGTCTAGAAGAAAATAGCAGAGTGAAAGGATCTTCATAACTAAACCTTGATTATTTGACACTGGCTATAAAACATGCCAAAATAAGCAAAATAAAATAAATTAACATTAGATGAATACAGGAACACTCCTGAGGTATTATTTTAAGACTGGAAAGTCAATAGTTGAAATCTCTTTTCTGAGAGGGGCACTGTTTCTATTAGATTCTGTGCCTTGATTGAGAGCATTGTTGTGATATCAGTGGATCCTAGTTTTGTGTTTATGAAATTTAAATTGCTGACACAATTCCACTTTTTGACCAAGGCATATTATTATAAAGGTGCTGAAGTTATGAAATCCCAGCTGTTTCACCAACACCCTTTGGGAAGAAATCCCAAAAGGTGTCCCCAACCTGGTAAGAGGTCTCCAGTTCTAAATTGAAACCCAGTAGTCATTCAGAGTGGATGGCTATTGCTGCCTTGTCAGTAACTCTCATATCTCAAGGGGAAAGTTACAGCATTGAGCTTTTGCTTTCAGATTCATTTAGTTTTTGAACTTAGACTGAGTGAGATTGTTATGCAGTGGATAACTTCCCACTTCAGGTGCACAGTCTTCTGATGTCACTTACTCCAGGTCATGTATAGCTGAGCTAGAAGCAAAGTGAATCTTTCTTCATTCTCTCTTAACGTCAGAGGAGCCCAGACTGTACGAGTTGAGCCCTGTTTCTTATACTTGTCAACCAGTGAAGTTTCCAATTAAGTTCACTTGTTGATGTGAGATTTGTGCTATCTAAGCACTAGATCAAGGCTAATCAAGCATTTCTCAGGTGGGATTCTTGCAGCTGCAGCTGCAGCTACAGCACGCCCTCAGGCTGACTTGACTTTGAACTGAAATGAAAAGCACTGCTTTGGTCCTCTAGGTCATACGTTTGAAGTATACAAAATGGAAGAACTTACTTTGAGCTTTGGCCAACGATCTTAAAGCATCCTGCATTGGTCAGGTTGATCTTTAACTGTTTTTACAAGTTGATCAAGTGGGGAAGTATGTTTATATTTGGTGTTGAGTATTGCCGTTTTGTGTTTGACCCGTTGACCAAAACAGACACTGATAGATTCCTCTTGAATTTGTGTAGATTCGGGCTGTTCGACCCAAGGTCCTAATGAGATTGTCAAAGACCAAGAAGCACGTCAGTCGAGCTTATGGTGGCTCCATGTGTGCCAAGTGTGTACGTGACAGGTAATCTTCAAAATGGCTTGTTGTGAATATTTTTATTTGATCAATTTATTAAACATTTCTGACTGCAATAAGAAGCATTTACTACAGAGTATCTGGTGTCCTCGTGTGTGTTCATTCTGTCAGTGGTAGAATAGTTTCCGTGCGGGCCTTCAAGCAACCTGCTGTAGGTTCTGGTAAAGGAAAACTGCTCTGAGTTGGTTTTCTGCTGACATGAGAGTTGCTATCACCAATGACACTGGTAAATTGTGAGGGGTTTTTTGAGAGATGTTGACAAAGCTGCAGCTGCATAATTAAACAACACATTCTCTAGTTAGCATGTCAAGACAGCTCATGGAGTGCTTTTTGGGCAGATGATTTATGAGCGTCTAGGAAGCCTGTCTAACTTTCCCCCTGGTAAGAGGCCAAACCATTAGAAATGTTGTCACAATTTTAGTACAGAAGTAGAACACGTAATTAATAATTATTGCAAGGCGAATGGAATAAATGTCAGGAAGTCTTTCTACAACTGTACCAGACATTGGTGAGACTGCACGTAGAATACTATGTATGGTTTTGTTCTCTTTTTAGGAAAATTTACTTGCATTGGATGCAATTAAGAGATAGTTAATTAGGTTGATTCCAGAGGTGAAAAGTTTGTTTCATGAGAAAAGACTTGGCTGTTTGGGTCTATACTCAGGAGTTTAGAAAAGTGGGAAATGTTCAACCCATTCTGAAGTGGGTTCAACAGGCTGAATGCTGAGGGAATGTCCTCCCTGTAGGGAAATCTAGAACTAGAGGGCCCTTAAAAGTACTGGTCTCCCACTGAAGACTGAAATGAAGAGGAATCTCTCTTGAGATTTGTTAATCTTTCAAAATTTCTTCCCTGGGAAGCAGTGGAGGCTGGTTAATTGAAAATATTCAAGGCTGAATTGGATAGATGTTTGATCTGTAAGTGAGGTCGGGGCAGACAGGAATGTGGAGTTAAGTCACAGTTGGATCAGCTATCATTTTACTGAATGGTGGAGCAGTCTTGAGAACCTGATTGGTCTACTCCTCTTGTTTTTGGGGGCTGGGAGTGTCTTTTTCATGTCAGAACATGGATTGTGCATGCTACCTTTAAGCTCTACCCAAAACACTGGCATGTAGAAGGCCAGCATGCAGCCTCCATGATAGCAAGAACTGCAGATGCTGGAGTCAGAGTCAATACAGTGTGGTGCTGGAGGAACACAGCGGGTCAGGCAGGTTTAGAGGAGGGTGTGAACGCGAAATGTCGACTTTCCTGCTCCTCTGATGCCTGACCTGCTATGTTTCAGCTCCACGCTGTATTGACTCTGCAGCCTCCATGTATGTTTTTCATGTTGTGAGCTGTAGCCTGGGTATTTCAGCACCCAAGGAGTTTTCAGTTCTTGATGTTGATCAGAAGTTCTGCAGTGCAGGTCACTTGTGAGTATTTGGGAAATATGCCTAATTGTGAGTTTTTACTGTATTGATACCCTTCTGTTGAGCTCCGCTGGTAACTCAACTCCTTGGCCTTACATGCGTTTTCTTTTATTTTCAGAATTAAGCGTGCATTCCTTATTGAGGAACAGAAGATCGTAGTGAAGGTGCTGAAAGCCCAAGCACAAAGCCAGAAATCGAAGTGAACCATCTAGTTTTGTATAAACATGAAAGTAAAAGCCTAATTGGAACTTGCCTTGTTTCAAAATATTTCTTTTCCCCCCACAATGAGGTCACAGTCAGAGTATGCTCCTGGTGTGGAAAAATGTTTGTCAAATTTCTGACACCATGGTATGATTAAAATATCCATATTGCCTGTAGTATTGAGCTGGGCAGCACAAGCTGTCTGTTGATTAGTCAACAACTTGCTTAACGGTTAACCGAATATAGGTTTCTGCAAACTTCAGCTGCACCTAAAACGTGCATTAAATTTCTAATAACTGGATTGTTTGGTCGACCCTAGTTCCTTTGAGATGCTGTTGGACCTTTGCCTTGCAAAACAGCAGAGATTGAAGGTTTATTTCAGCTTACTGACAGTCGGCTTTTGCATCACCACATGATTACTGAAGTCCATGTAGGCCACATCAATTGTGTAACCCTTTAACCTCCTTGAAAAATTCAAATTGGTCAGACGGGATCTCCTGGTAATAGTCAAACTAATCATCCCCGATTAATACGTGCCTCTCCAAGATTAGTTTTGTCCTCCAATTTTTTTTCCCCAGAAGTTCCCTATCACTGATGTTAAGACTGGCTGATCTATGCTTCCTGGTTTATCTCTCTCCCTTGTTGAATCATAAACATTTGACAGTAATCTCCAATTTCTCACTGCCTCCCGTAGTTTTTACCTTACTGATTGAAGGTCTGGCATTGCCTAAAGTCAGTCAAGCAAATCAATTAACAATGATCTTTCTAAAATAGACACGCTGAATATATTGCAAGAAATTGATACCTGTGGTAGTGACAAACAGTGACATTTCCTGATGTAGCTGGCTACCTAGAGTCAGCAATAATAATGTAAGAGGTAGGATTACTTCAGGTTTCCTTTAATGGGGAAGTCTGCCGTGATGGTTGAGAAACATCTCAACTGCTGCTGTATCTGGTTCAATCTTTCTCAGTGTCTTTCTGAAATTGGCTAAGGCGTTGAGACAAGCTGGATGCTGTGTTACACGAAAAGTAAAAATATTTTACAGCACAAACCATCCATTCAACTGAACAGTTGCTGGTATTCATGCTGCACAGAAACCTCATCTCACTCCATCTGTCCCATATGTATCCTGCTATTCCTTTCACCCCCAAATACTGCCTCGCTTCCCATGATTCCCTTCAAGTATTCCGTGTCACAGCAAGTGTAAAAAATGTAAACTGTTCTGAGATGACTTTGAGGGATGGAGCAGATGGATTGCTTGTAGAAGAAGTGATGGTTTGGGATAGCCCTTGGAATCCCACCCCCCCAAACCACCACCACCACCACATCACCAGTATCCACCCACCTGATGAATAATTATAACTCTGGGGCTGGGTGAGAACTGGTTATTCTTCATAGGTTTTATGGAATATCTTCCAGGCTGCCCCAGTGTAACTTTGGCCTGGAATCTTTTCATTGTATCTTTGAATTAGTAATTGAATGATGCTTAAAACAGATATCAGAAAAGTGAAGAAGGGGTGCATGGAAAAACTGGTGGGTAAAATAAAAGAAAATCAAAAGGCATTGTGTAAGTATGCTAAAGCAAGAGGATAACCAGGGAAAGATTAGTGACATTTCTGGCCAGATATAGGTGAAGTTTTAAAATGAGTACTTTGCATTCATATTCACCAGAGAGAAGGATGATGTGGATTATTACAATTGAGAATGAAGCAGCAGCAAGTTTACGTTCTTAAAATTAGATACATTCTGAGGCCCAGATGAGATATATTCCAAAGTGCTATGGGAGGCAAGGGAGGAGATTGCAGGAGCCACAGCATGGATTTTCAAATCATCTCAGTCCACAAGAGAGGTGCCAGAGGACTGGAGGTTAGCTGATATATGATTCAACAAGGGTGATAGAGATAAACCAGGAAGCATAGATCAGTGAGTCTTAACATCAGTGGTACGGAACTTTTGGGGGAAAAAAAAATTGGAGGACAAAACTAATATTGGAGAGGCATGTATTAATCGGGGATGATCAGTTTGACTATTACCAGGAGATCCCGTCTGACCAATTTGAATTTTTCAAGGAGGTTAAAGGGTTACACAATTGATGTAGCCTACATGGACTTTAGTAAGGCTTTTGACAAGGTGTCACATAACAGACCAGGCAAGAGTGCATGGGATCCAGAGCAAATTGGACCAAAATTGACTTTGTGGCAGATGGCAATAGTTGAAGCTTGATTTTGTGATTGAAAGCTGGTGTCCAATGGAATGCAACAGGCTCCTTTGCTGCTTGTAGTGTAATTACACTGAAACAAATGTAGGTTTTATCAGTAATTTGATGGTATGGTAAAAAGCAAGAAGGAAAACCTTAAATTACAGGAGTGTAGATGGGCCTGATCAGACAGAACAACGTCGAATGGAATTTGAGCTCAAAGCAGCAGAGCAGACTTGTGGCAGCAGATCTTCCGGATAAAAGTGAGGAGCGGGGCCTGATTGAGCCGAGTCTGAGCAGCGGCGAGAGTGGAGCAGAATCCAGAGGAGGAACTCCATAGGTGATGTCACAATTCAAAATATAACATAGGGCAAGTGGATAGGCAGCTTAGGAAGCAGCTTTAGACATTTATCTCCCTCCTGATATTACTCAGTGTAAAGTCCTTATTTGTAGTTTGTTGGGAATAGAGAGAAATCTGATTTGGTGAGTAGTGGATAAGATTGAGTAATTAGTTCCTAGTTTATTGTAGCTGATAAGTTTTCAATGGCGAGAGAGCTCAGCCCCATGGAAGTATCCATTGTCACCATGTATGTGGGGTGTGTGTTTAGCTGCAGCTCCTGATTAGCTGTATAGAGCTGTAGATGGAGTCCCTTGTGGTCATCCCCCTCTCCACAGTACACCGTTTTAACAGGGAATGCCTCAGGGAAAGCAGCAGCAGTCACGTTTGTGGCATCAAAGTTGGCTCTGCTGTACAGCAGGGAAAGAAAAAGATTGGGAAAGCTTCAGTGATAGAGGACTTGATTGTAAGAGGAAACTTGCAGGTGGTTCTGTGGCAGCAAACATGACCCTCAAAAGGGATGCTGTCTCACTGTTGCCAGGATCAGGGATGTCTGAGAGTGGCTACTGGCATTCTGAAGCGGGAGGGTGAACAGCCAGCAGTCACAGTACATATTGGTGTCAACGATATGGATAAAGAGAAATATAGTCCTGCAGTGGGAGTTGAAAGACTTAAATCGTGGATTAAACAGTAAGTACTAAGGTTGTAATCTCAGACTACTTCCTGTGCCATGTACTACCGAGTAACAAGATAGGTCAGATGAATGTGTGATTAAAGTGATGGTGTAGGAAGGAAGGCTTTAGATTTTTGGATCATGGGGACTGCTTCTGGGGTAGGTGGGACCTGTTACAAGCCGGATGAGTTACAGCTGAACCAGAATGGGTTCCAATATTCTTGCTGGGAGGTTTGCTCGACCTCTTGGGGAGGTTTTCAACTGATTTGGCAGGAGGCACAGAGAAGATATAAAACCGGGAGTGATGTAGAAAAATGCCAGGACACAGTGGGTGGATAAGGCACATGGGAGGTTTTAAAGCCAACCTTTATTTTAATACAAGGAGCCTGACTGATAAAGCAGCTAGAGCATTGATCAGCACTTGAGAATGTGATATTGTTGCAATTGCTGAGACATGGTTGAAGGAACGGCAGGATTAGCAGCTCAACATTCTAGAGTTTAGAAATTTCAGGTGGGATTAGAGGGATCTAAGAAAGGTGGGGGCACTGCATTATTGATAAAAGAAGACCATCCCTGCAATAATGAGGGAGAATGTCATAGAAGGGTCTTCAAATGAGGTCATCTGGGTAGACCTTAGAAATAAAAAAATGAGCAATTATATTGCTGGGATTATACTACAGGCCTCCTACAGCAAGAGGGAAAAAGAGCAGATATGTGTAACTTACAGAAAGTTGTGACAGAAAACGGTTATAGCTGTAGGGGATTTCAACTTTGCTAACACTGGCTTAGTGTGAAAGGATCAGACAAGGTGGAATTTAATGTGTGTCCAGCAGAGAACATAGAACATTACAGCACAGTACAGGCCCTTCGGCCCTCGATGTTGCGCCGACCTGTCTGAAACCAATCTGAAGCCATCTAACCTACACTATTCCATTATCATCCATATGTTTATCCAATGACTATTTAAATGCCCTTAAATTTGGGGAGTCTACTACTTTTGCAGGCAGGGCATTCCACGCCCTTACTACTCTCTGAGTAAAGAGCTTTTGTGCCAGTACGTGGATAGTCTTACCAGAGCAGTACTAGACCTAATCCTAGGGAATGAAGTCAGTGAAGTGGTTTAAGTTTCAGTGGGGTGAGTATTTTAGGGATAGTAACCATGACTCTTAAGTTTGAAAGTCATTATGAAAATGGATAAGGATAATGCATAAAATTAAGTGTCAAAATTGAGGGAAGGCCAATTTTAATTTCATTAAGATCTGGCAAACTCAAATCTGGGAACAGTGACTTGAAAGTAAGTTGATATTTGTAGAGTGGGAATCATTTAAAAGTAGTATAGTGAGAATTCAGGGCCAGCATGTCCAGGGATATCAAGTGTTTGGTCAAGATAAAGGAAGCATGTGGCAGGAGCAATGCATTAAAACAGCGGAGATGCTTCAAAAGTATATAATGTAAGAAGGTTCCTTAAAAAGATTTGGGAGGCAAAGACAGGACATCTTTGGTAGATGAGATTATAAAAAACTTAAGTCTTTTTATAAGTTTATTAGGAGTAAGTGGATGGCCAAGGCAAACTTACCAAGGATCGTCAGACAAGTGTCTTCCAAATCCATTCGGAAGGACGGGGGCAGCAGATGCATGGGGACACCGCCAGGTGCAATTTCCCCTCCAAACTATTCATCGTTCTGATTTGAAAATATATTGCCGTCCTTTTACTGTTACTGGTTAAAAGTCTTGGAATTCCTTCCACAAGGGCATTTTCGTCTACTCAGAGTACATACACTGCAAAAGTCGATGACGGCGCTTCACTACAACTTATGAAAGGCAGCTAGGGGTGGGTAATAAATGCTGACCGAGCCTGCGAAGCATAAGTCAGCTAAATTACGGAAACAAAATACCCAGAAATTGCTTCCAGAAAATTTAAAAGTGATGTTATGTTCAAGGACATGGCAGCTATAATCATCGGATCATTGAATCAGAGAAGACGACTACTCGATGGAACGTGCTGTACTGGCTGCAGAAACAGTACCCAGATCGTCTCATTCTCCAACCCTATCTTTGTAGCCCTCTAAATTCATCACTTTCAAATATATATCCAGTTCTCTTTTGAAACCTCCTTTGGAATCTGCTCTCCCAGGCAGTGCATTCCAAATCCTAACAATTATCTGCATAAAGAAGCTTCTCCTTATTGCACTCCTAGCTCTTTGGTTGACAATCTTGTAGGTAGGCTAGAAGAGGTGGATGTTAGTAAGGAAGATGTACTAGGAATTTGAGGAACTTGAAGATAGATAAGTCCCCCGGGCCTGATGGGATTTATCCAAGGAGTCTATGGGAAGCGAGGGAAGAGATCGCAGGGCCTTTGGCGATAATCTTTTCATCCTCTCTGTTCACGGGTATAGTGCCGGAAGATTGGAGAGTGGCAAATGTCATTCCCTTGTTCGAAAAAGGGAATAGGGGTTACCCCATGAATTACAGGCCAGTTAGTCTTACTTCAGTGGTGGGCAAATTACTGGAAAGGGCTCTGAGAGATAGGATTTATGATCACTTGGATAGGCACAGTTTGATTTGTGATAGTCAGCATGGATTTGTGAGGGGGAGATCATGCCTCGCAAACCTTATTGAATTCTTTGAAGGGGTGACCAAACACGTGGCTGAAGGTACAGCAATGGATGTGGGATACATTGATTTAAGTAAGGCGTTTGATAAGGTTCCCCATGGTAGGCTCATGCAGAAGGTAAAGGAGGCATTGGATAGGGGGAAATGTGGCAGATTGGATTCAGAATTGGCTGACCCTTAGAAGACAAAGGGTGGTAGTGGACATAAAATATTCAACATGGTGCTCAATTACGAGTGGTGTACCACAAGGATCTGTTCTGGGTCCTCTTCTATTCGTGATTTTTGTAAATGATTTGGATGTAGGAGTGGAAGGGTGGATTAGTAAGTTCGTGAACAATACGACGGTGGGTCGAGTTGCGGATAGTGCGGAGGGCTGTTCTCGGTTACAAAGGAACATTGATAGGATGTAGAGCTGGGCTGAGAAGTGGCAGATGGAGGTTAACCCTGAAAAGCGTGAGGTGATTCATTTTGGAAGGACAAATTTGAAAGCAGAATACAGGGTTAACGGAAAGATTCTTGGCAGTGTGGAGGAGCATAGGGATCTCAGGGTTCCTGTCCACAGTTCCCTGAAAGCAGCCACCCAGGTAGATAGAGTTGTTAAGAAGGCGTATGGTGTGTTAGCTTTCATTAATAGAGGGATTGAGTTCAAGAGCCGTGAAGTTATGCTCCAGCTATACAAAACCCTGGTTCGGCCACATCTGGAGTATCATGTCCAGTCCTGTTCGCCTCATTACAAGAAAGATGTGGAAGCATTGGAAAAGGTGCAGAAGAGATTTACCAGGAAGTTGCCTGGAATGGAGGGAAGGTGTCACGAGGAAAGGTTGAGAGAGCTAGGGCTTTCACTTTAGAACAACGAAGGATGAGAGGTGACTTGATAGAAGTGTACAAAATGATCAGAGGTACAGATAGAGTGGATAGCCAGAGACTTTTTCCTAGGGTGGAGGTAGCTATTACGAGGGGGCATAGTTTTAAAGTGAGTGCAGGTAGATATAGGGGGAAAACGTCAGAGGTAGGTTCTTTACTCAGAGAGTGGTAAGGGCGTGGAATGCATTGCTGGAAAGGGTAGTGGAGTTAGCTTCATTAGGCGCATTTAAGTGGCTATTAGATAGGAATGATAATATAAGGTAGGGATGGAGGTTAGATAGACCTTAGGTTTAAGGTAAAAGTTCGGCACAACATCGTGGGCCTGTACTGTGTCGTACTGTTCTATGTTCTAGCTTAGAGGCCAAAGGGGTAACCAGTGTGTGTGAAGCCAGTGGATGTGGGTGAGGTCATAAATTAATGCTTTTCATCACTACTCACAAAAGAAGAAAGACATCGTAGCTGAGGATTTCAGTTAGGATGAGGTGGTTCTGGAACATTAAGATTAATAAGAAGGAAGCAGTAAACGTTTTGGGCATACAGGTACATAAATCCTGGGCCTGATGAGATGCATCCTATGCTGCTATGGAAGGAAATATTAAATATCTTGCTGGCCACAGGTGAAGTGCCAGATCAGTGGAGGATAGCTGATGTAGCTCTTTCATTCAAGCAGGGATAGGCCAGGTTATTCCAAACCAGTTAGTTTGGGGTCAGTGGTAGGGAAATTATAAAAAAATTCTGAAGGGTAGAATTAATCAATACTTGGAAAGGCAAGGATTGATCAGGGATAGTCAGTATGGAATTGTTAGAGGGAGAGATCCTGTCTAATTGGGTTTTTTTTAAAAAACGGTAACTAAATATATTGATGACGATAGTGCAGTTGATGGGGTTTACACAGACTTCTGTAAGGCCTTTGACAAGGTCCCACGTGGAAAGTTCGTGCAAAAGGTAACAGCCCATGGGATCTAAGTCAAGGATAATGGTGGAGGGTTGTTTTTGTAATTGGAAGCCTGTGAGCAATATTGTACCAAGGATTGGTGCTCAGACCCTTGCATTTGTACTTTCTATTAACAACTTACATTTGAATGTAGAAGGTACAATTAGTAAGTTTGCAGATAACAAATTGGTGTTGTTGCTATTGATCAGCTGGTAAATTAGGCAGAGCAATAGCCAATGGAATTTAATGCCAATAAGTGAGAGGTGATATATTTTGGGAGGTCAAATAAAGGAAGGTCATACACAATGAATGGTAAGTTCCTAAAGAAGTACTGAGGAACAAAGGCACTTTTGTGTACAAGTGCATGCCTGGATGTGCCAGCACAGGGAGATAAGGTAGCGAAGAAGGCACACAGGATGCTTGCCATCATTTGTCAGGGCAGAGAATATAGGTGCAACAATGTCTTGTTACAACTTTATAAAACATTGGTTAAACAGATGTAAAACAGTGTACCTAGAAGGATGAGATTGCACTGGAGAGGGTACAGAGGAGGTTCACCAGTATGTTCTACAACGTGACCCAGGCCCTATCATTAATTGTACAAATCCTGCCTTTGCTTGTATTTCAAAATGCAATACCTCGCTTTTATCCAAATTAAGCTCCATCAGACATTCCTCAGCCCATTGACCCAATTGATCAAGATCTCTTTGTCATCTTAAAATAACCTTCTTCACTGCCCACTAAACCACCAATTATGGTGTCATCAGCAAGCTTACTAACCATGCCTCCTATATTCTCATCCAAATCATTATATATAAAACAAACAAAAGTGGACCTAGTACCTATCCATGTGGAACACCACTAGTCAAAGGCCTCTAGTCCAATAAACTATCCACCCAGCAGAAGAAATCTTCCACTCCAATTGCTGTCAATTTGCAGTGCCATCTGACATTGATTAAAACAGGGTAGACCATTTAAGGTTGTCATTTCTATATAAAATATAACAACAGCTCAGATCAAATTGTTCAGCACATTGAATACAAAACCTCAAAACTGAAGTCCATGTAGATTCAGGCTCTTTTCCACCTTCAGCGACTAACAATATTCATGATTCACCAACCTCCCTCTCAAATGGAACACGCAGCACCCAAAATGCTTTCAGCACAGGTCTTTTATTTAAACCAGTACTACTTTCCCCTCAGTCTTATCCACTCACAGGGCATTTCAATGCCATGCACAGTGAATATTAAGTTAAGTTTTCAATAACATAATTTTGTGTTTGATAGAGCAGGAATGTATTCTGAAAGATCACTGGACAGTCCACTCAGGGTATTTTTGCACTGCATTAAGTTTAAGAGCTATGATATTTAGCTGGTAAAAAAAACTGAATTAGCTAGTAGCTATGATACAATGTATTCCCTCAAATTAAAAAAAAAGGAATGGGGCCCACTTTAGACAATAACAGGGTCTTTTGAAAACCTGAATAGACCATCCACAATAAAGTAAATTCTAATTACAAGTTAAGAAACAAAAAAAGAAAAAAAAGGTTTTGAATTCCAATTGCTATCATACTGCCAGTGGAGTTCTTTACACAACTTTAATTCCAAACAGCAACAAGGGAAAACTCACATGATGAAGTAATAAATATGCTGGAAACACTGCTTGAAAAAAAATAAACAAAAACTGGTTTCATGAAGCAAGCATTAAGCTCAAAACTAAACACTATTACAAATGTTTATGCATGGTTATCTTGACACTATATTTTAAAGTATCACAGGCTAATAGTGATTAATAAATTGTGCAGGCATAAGATCTTCCATTGAACTGCACGTTTCCTCATTGGATCACTTCTCTTCACACCACTGATTCTCCTTTCGTACCTGTAAAAGAAAGTGCAATTAGCAGACTTTAAAGAAAAAAAAAATGCATCTTTTTTCTGCTCCCCCCTCATAAGGCTGTCTTTTTCACCTTCGTCTCAATTTTGCAGCCTGAAAGCAATATTCAGAAACCAACTCATCAATTTTAAAAAAGGGTAAGGCTGGTTAAGTGCACAATGCACTTACCTCATCTGTGCTGTTTCCATGGGGACAATGTTGTTTCAGGCACACAAAACAGGAAAAAAAGATAATCTAACCATCTTTAGAACCTCCTTACCCACCTTAATGTCAGTAGAAAATTAAACTTAGTGAAAAAAAAATGTAAAAAGCAGAGAGTTGTGATGAGGACAATCACAACAGATTAAATATTAACAAAAGCAACACACACAATGCACTGAAAATACAGAGTTATTAAGTCACATAGCTCCAAACAGCGAAAACAAAAATGCTATTGCACTAGTCGGGGTGGGGTGGGGGTCAAATGAGCAGCACAGGCTACCTGTCAAGTTGAGCTTTTGTTATGCTGCTCTCAAAACATCAGGTCTCAATTTCATAAGACCACCTCCAACTGCACAGCTGGAAAATTGCCCTCTGCCCACCAGACACCAGGTGGCTTAGCATTTGTCAAACAAAACATTACATGTTTTATACCTTGGAAACAGGCCCAATGGTTAGCAGGGCTGAGACACCAAATGAAAATCCTTTACATGCCAGTTTAAGATGGAGAATTTTAAACCACAGTATTAGTCAGATGTTGCCTCTTCCTTTCTCCCTCCCTCCAGAGATACCACCAGTTACAATATGAGCAGAGGAATCATCTGGGGCTTCAAATCATTTTACAAAATATTCCCAGATGTACCTGTGCCTCCTCTTCTTCAGTGAAATCATTCTTAATGTTGAATGTTTTGCGAATTTCTTCAGGAGTTTTTCCTTTAATCATATTTGCCACTGTTTTGCAAGTTACATCAAGAAGACCCTTGATATCAAGGTAGTTTGCAGCCTGTTGTTTATTAAAGAAAGGAGAAAGCTCATTTAAACAATTAGAATCTTTGCCCTTAAAATTTTATTTTTGTCAAGATGTTGACAAGCCACCCTTTCCGTAGCCACATGCATCTCTCAAATGGACTTAATACAGCGTTAATAAAAAAGGTAAAACAACTAAACAAAATCCAGTCTAAGTGTAGCCCCCCATTTATTTCACATGTGTTTCTCAGCAAACCTATTTTGTCACCTCAGCACAAAGCTGTAGTTACAATAAAGCTGCAGTATCAAAGACAGTAAGCCAGTGGCCAAGGTGCTGGGCCTAACTTCAATGTTGAACACAAGGTTATTGTTCAAAACCAAATTTGTGGTCCAACAATTTAAGTGGTACAAGCTATATTTTAAAAGTAGTGCACGTTTGGTTACTTGAGGGGATTCTTAAAATTTTGCAGAACAGCAACAAGCCATTCAGCTCTACAGAGCTATGCTGCTTCCTCCATCTCACCTCACCAGCAGATGCTTCATTTTCTTCCCTCATTTATTCATTGATCAGAGATAACAAACACTGATTTGTTGGAGGGAGATCCTGTCTGACTAATGTGAGTTTTTTTTGAAAATTTAACTAAATATTGTAATGAGGGGTGCAGTTAATGTGGTTTACATAGCATTCAGTGAGGCCTTTGACAAGGTCCCACATGAAAGTCTGGTCCAAGAGGTAACAGCCCACGGAATCCAAGGCAAATTAATAAACGGGATCCAAAATTGGTTTGCAAATAGGAGGCAAAGGGTGATGCTGGGAACGGTTGTGAATGGAATTCTGTGACCAACAGTGAAGAGGATGATGTCTTGTATTGATCAGGTGGTAAATCGGGCAGGGCAATGGCGAATGGAATTTAATCCTGAAAGGTGTGAGGTGATGCACTTTGGGAGGTTTTGTAAGGGAAAGATTTAAACAGTGAAGGATAGGTCCCTGGGGAGAATGGAGGAACAAAGGGATCATAGCATACAAGTTCATGGATCCTTGAAAGTGTCAGCAGAGGTAGACTGGATGGTGAAGACAGCATAGGGAATGCTTGCCTTCATTAACTGGGGTATTGAATATAGGAACAGCGAAGTTGTATTGTAATTTCATAGAGCTTTAATTAGGCCACAGATGGAATACCGAGTTGGCAAGCAGAACTCAAATCTGAAAAACTTGATTGCATTGGAGAGGGCGCAGAGGAGACGTTCCCTGCGAGCGGAAAATCCGTTACGAGCGGAGACTAGACAGTCTGGGTTTGTTTTCCCTGGAGCAGGGGAAGCCGAGAAGCCTGTTTCTATGCTATATGATTTTCTCATCTCCCCAATAAATGCACCTCAAATAATGCTGTTTGATAGAGATAGCAGGAACTGCAGATGCTGGAGAATCTGAGATAACAAGGTGTGGAGCTGGATGAACACAGCAGGCCAAGCAGCAGAGGAGCAGGAAGGCTGAAGGGTCTAGGCCCGAAACGTCAGCCTTCCTGCTCGGCCTGCTGTGTTCATCCAGCTCCACACCTTAATACTGTTTGATAGCAAGTTATACACTTTTTTTTATTTTTGGTGAAATCGGAACTTATATTTGTAAAGCCTTGCAAATCACATCTCAGATTATACAAGAGCTTCATACACAAGGCACATTGAAAGAAACTCAGTCACTTAAACACCATCTAGCAATTGCAAACCTTATACTGTTGGAGAGAATGAAACTTTGATGTTAATTTACAAAAAGCTCAAAACTTCCCAACAAGTACTGACCAGTATTAGTTCAAAGAGAGTGCCCTGGTCAACTTTCAGAAACTCCTGATCCCACACTGGTATGTCATCAGTTCGTTTTTCTTTGTTTTCATCATCCTCTGGTGGGGGAGGGTCATCTCGATGATGCGTACACCACTGGATTACCTAGTGCACAAACATAACCTTCAAGCTGGTCATTTGTCAGGCAGGTGGAAATTTACCTCCACTATTAACAAAATTTGCAAAGTGGAAATCTGCCACTGAACAATCAAGGCTGGATCTAGTTTATACTAGAGTGGACAGTGTTCAAATCCAATCCCACAAAAGGCAGATAAGAGAGACTTGGTAGCACTGCAAGCGCTGTAGAGTATACTGTAGCACAGTAAACTCAGACTTAAATATAGTCACTTATAAAGCAAGAAGTACAACTGCCAATATAGGCAAGGCAAGCTCTTAAAAAAAAAAAATAGGAGAATGATCAGACCACCTAATCTAAACCTTGACTCAAACACTCCTGCTCTTGGAAAAGTAAAAGTATTTTATTTCTGGAAACAGGCAGATAGTCATTTTAATGATCATGCCAAAACAGTCTCCCTCAAAGCTGCATACAAGGTGTCCACCTAAATTACATAGTCAAGTCTTTGAAATGGGACTTGAACCCATAAACCTGATTCAGAGGCTGGTGTGCTCCCAACTCAGCCAAAGCTTACACATATCCAATTGATATTCATAGGGCTGAAAAAGTGAAATGGATGAAAGAGGGTAATGAAAAATGCCACTTCACTTTCAAATAAAAGCAAAAACACTTTTTATTACAAATTTTCAGCATGCACAAAGTGCTGGAGAAACTCAGCAACTTCAGAACCACAGTCGTATCAGACTTGAAACGTTAACTCTGTTCACACAGATACTGTAAGACCTGCCGAGTTTCTCTAGAAATTTGTTTTCATTACCACCTTACCTTTTTCAGAATAGCAGCATTCACGTTTGGGAGTGGCACTGGATCATCATCACCTTCATCATCCATACCTAGATCTGTATTTTTACAAAGGAAATGACAAACTCAGAACATGTATTACACATGCTGCAGATAAAACAGGCACATCGTGACAGCCAATGTCAAATTTTATTACATTTCACAGCAACTGATCACAACAATGCTTTCTCCAGGCTTGGACTTGGACTTACACTTGGATATAATTACTAATTCCCTGCCTTCCTGTTCAAACAGCTGCTTTTATGTTCCGCCAAGGTACCAGATAACTTCCATGTAAGTTACATAGGCAGAGGAATAATATGTAATCAGCAAAAGTAGACATTCCTGTCCAATCACAGCAGAGCCCCATCCTTCAAACAACATTAATTCTGGCATTGTAAGCATACCAGAGATTTTAAATGTATCCTTCCAAAAATTTACAGAGGGATCAACAGTTTGTGGGAACAAATGCAATAATGTTGCTGCTTAAAGGACATCATGTCAGTGTTTATAACCTGACTTTTGCCTATTACTCTAGAACCTTACTGCAGAATTAGTCAGGTTGTTTTCAGCTTATTTACTGCACTGTCACATTATTAGCACTGGATCTCTGCCACACCTATCAATAGCTTCCTGCAATGGTACTGCACTAGCTAATACCTTGCTGCATTCAACATTGTGTCAGCAGCAGGGAGCACTGTCTGATCACAGTGGAACATAAAAGAAAAGCAATTATCTAACAAAAAGAGGAAATAAAAATATATAATCAGAAACCTGACCATGGTAGTCCTTTCGCCTTTAGATTTAAATATTTTAAAACTCACTGCTATTAAAACTGTACTATGTTTATGTAGATTAAACTGCCAAAAAGAAAATCTCACATTTACAGTCTTTTCTGTTACACTGGTTGAGAAAGGACAAAAACATCACAGCTAAACAAGCAAGAAGAAACATTAACATCAGCTTTGTTGATGAAACTTTTGAGGGATGGGGAGAATGGACAATCAAAGTTAGCAGGGCATAAAATAGGCAATCGAGGCAGCAGCAACTGCTGATCAGGCTCAAAGTCTCTGGAGAGAAAGTACTGGGAGACTGGAATCTGCTCAAGCTAATTTTACACCCCCAACATTGAATCATCCCTTATCCCAGTTTCTAATCTTCCCAAAAATGATAGAATGGGCATAAATTACAATTAAAAATATTGTCATCACATCCAAATGAATGGGAAGAATCAATCCTTCCCTTGGGTCAGCGACTCACTGAGTCAGCACAGCTATCTGAACATCCAACTGAGATTTTCACCCAAATGCCTGCATTATTAGTGCCAGAATAGCACAAGGTAAGCAATGAATTAATCTGGTGGGAAACAGAACAGTGTGGAAAAAAAAACATTATTGTTGTCTCAGAGCCCTTCACTAGCTATACCTTCCAACATTGTTTTGATTGTGATAGACTGCTTTGCTATTTCCACGTCAACCTCGAAGATCTCTCCATCTGAGCTTTGTAGCTTAATGGCAGGCATTTTCTAGAAATGAGGAAAATCATGTTAAGTGTCAACATATTCTGCAATATTACAAAAATCATGTTTCTTGCTTGAATCCTACCCATCCCTCAAACTCCCAGATGGTTCAAATCTTCTCGCATAATCACATGATCTATCATCCTCATCTTCCCACAGCTTCAAAATTCCCTATCCAAACATTTAGGAGTATTTTCACTTCTCTCTGCTTTACTGCAATCCCAGCTCTCAGTTACTATTGACTCTACTCATTATAGCCATGACCTCAGTAATTGTACCTCATCATTATTTTGTCCTCATGTCCTTAATCTCCTCACAACTCTCTCATTAAATAGTCCCCAAGACATTCAGATATAACAAAAAAAAACACAGTAACTTGGGTGTTTGGCAGCAATTAAAGTTAAAGTAATTCCAGACAGAAATCCTTGAAGATAGACACAGCTTCACATGTAAAAGAAACTTCAGGTAACTTTATCAGCCGAACTGGGCCTGGCATCCAAAAAAAAGTGTGAGAACTACAGAAAAATCAGGATGAAGGCTCTTCATCCATTTTTAAGAAATATGTAGAACCACTTCCAGTTGGGGTCAGAGTCTTGGGAATGCAATTCACGTGGGCAAAATGGGATTCTGATATCAAAATAAAGGGCACCATTTAAAATACCATCAGCAGGTATTAGCAGGCAGAACACAGCACTGAGCCTAAACCATCAGATCCTGATCAGTCCTCACGAGGATGGGGAGAGGCTGATCCCTCTGCGGGAGACTCCAGAACTTGACTTAATGGGGAGGGGTACACTAATTGAAAATACAATAGAAATAAGAAAGATATTAGTTTTCTCACAGAGAGAGTGGCCAGTTTTCTTAGAACCCTCTTCCTGAGAAAAAAGGTAGATAGCCTTTGAATATTTTTGAGGCAGAGGTCGAGTGATCCTGGATAAAGAAGGCGGTGGAGCTAGGGGAAAGAGATGAGGTGAAAGGATAGGGGAGGGAAAACGCAGGATGACCTGTAGCACCTTAGGACCTGCTATGTTGTGGGACTGAACGAGGTACCAGGACGGTCAGGTTGGCAGACAGTTGGGGTGCAATTCCTACACAAAGTAGGATTGCACCTTTCCAGCAGGTGCGACAGAGCCCAGGCGACAACAGATAGAATCCGGTGCCGGCCGTCTCCAGGGCCACCGTTACCATAACGGCAGCACCCCACCCCGCCATTGTGACGTTACTGCAGCGCGCCCCCGACACCCGCTGCTGTACCTGCCGCGCGCAACGAGCCCGCTTCCTCCTGTTGCTTCCCCCGCTCCGACTCTCACTGACCCGCTGCCCGCCGCTATTTATAACTCCGCAGCGACACCGCGCTGACGTCACAGGTCCTGTTGCGCAATGTCGAGGACCCCACCCCCCCACACAAAACCTTCGCTTCACTCAGCGAGAGAGAGAAATATTAACGTGGATTTACTGCCGGCAAGTACGTGTCCGACTCCATTGCAAACGTATTTCTTTTAAATAAGGGGGATTCTCATCGGGCCAGAGGCACCGACATTAAGATCAGGCGACTGCCGCAGACGACTCACATGGTGAGGGTGCATCTCGACGGAGCACGCTGACCTTTTTTAACATACAGACAGATAGAAAGCGCCATTGCTGACTGCTTTACTTTTGTTTTCAGAGGCCAGATGAGACTCCTGGAGCCGTGTCTTTTCGCGTCGGGAAGCTGACTCACCGACGGACCGCTGGAATCCCGAGGCTTCGCGTTAACGCCGCTGTCCCATCACGTGACGGTCACCTGTCGATGTGCGCACCGGGTATTGTAGTTCACGCATGCACCCCGGGACTCCAAATCCCGTGATGCACCTCACCAGTGTTCTGATCCTTCCCCCGCAATTTAAAGGGAAATATGTATGATACAAATTGTTTCTTTCTCCACAGACATTGATATGCCTGCTGATCATTTTCAGCACTGTGTTTTATTTGTGTCTATATCAGAGAGACGTTCCCTCTCAGATACTACTTGCGTTTGCAGACTTTATTTTTAAACCAAACATAGCTTCTCAACATTAATCCTCAATAGGGTAGGGAATAAAAAAATTGACAATGCCTAGACAATACTAGGTTGGGTAAAGTTTTGATTGAGAACTGACTTTTACAATATAACAGTGATTAATTTTGATAGGAAGAAAGTCAAGAGTCAATATAAAGTAAATGGCAAAATTTTAAAGATATTGCAATAGCATAAATTATTGGTGTACAGTCACCTCAGCTTTAATAATAGACATAAAAAGGAAAGAGGTTATTATTAATCCCATGTTAAACACTGACATGGTCTCAACTGGAGTGTTACATCAGTTCTGGGGGTTGCCCATTGGGCTTGTTTTTCTTGGAGAACAGGAAGTCGAGAGGAGTCTTAATGCAGGTGTTTAAAATCATGAGGGATCTGGACAGAGTAGAGAGAGAGAGAGAGAGAGAGAGAAACTGTTTCCATGAGTGGAAGGATTGTGATTTGAGGTAGGGGTGGTATTTAAGGTAATCGATGAAAGAAGCAATGGCGACTCAAGGAAAACGATGCGCTCATTAAAATGTGGCACAGTTAGATTCAACCAAAACTTTCAAAAGGTAATTACATAGTTATACAAGGATCAAATGTGCAGGACTACAAGAAGAAGGAAGGGGAATGCCACTGGGAAACTGCTCCTTCAGATATCCAGCACTGAAACGCACTCATTTCCATGATTTAGAAATAGAAAATTCTGGAAAACCCCAGTAGGTCTCTGAGCATCCATGAAGAAAGAAGACTTCTATAGGTCTCTTTCATGACTTCAGGATGTCCAAAGCACATTACAGCCAATGATTTTTGAACTGAAATCACAATGTAGGAAACGCAGCAACTAAGATGCCCACAGCAAGCTCCTGCAGAAAGGCAATAATCTAAACGACCGATCGTGTGAATTTCTGATGTTAATTGAGGGATAAATAGTGGCTGAGAAATTAGGGAGAATCCCCTGTTCTTTTCTGAAGTTCTGCCATACGATTTTTTTATATCCACCTGAGGGCCTCTGTTTAATATCTCACCCGAAAGCACTGCCTTGATACTGCTACTACACAGGGGTGTCCGCCAATGTAGTTTCTGAAGTGGGACCTGATTCAACGATAGTATCACTCAGATATACAAGTGCTTCAAACAACCCCTGACACCAAAGCATCTATTTGTTATCTGAATCGACCAAATAAAAATTAATTTATTCTGATAATCAGGAAAGATAGGGAGCACTGATGTTGAACAGGTTGAAATAACCGATCACAGGAAAGGTTGTACAGAGTTCAGAACAGCACTGTCTCATTTAGTTGTCTCATTCTGCCATGCTGACATTAATTAGTACTTTGAATGGGATAACTTGATTATATATTCTGGACCCCATCTTTATAGGGAATAGTTTAAAAATAGTTCAGAGGATAAAATATTTTATTCCAAATGAAAGCAGCAATGAAAATAAACACCTTGTTATTAATATAGGCTTTGATTCTCCAACACTGAGGCTCCTGTGGTCCAGTTGACACCACTCCAATCTCTCAGCTAGACACCTCCAGGTTCAATTCCCAATCCACGATGTGAAGGTGACCACAAAAGTTCAAGACGCATCAGGTCATTAAATCAGCCTGTGAATCTTTCAATGCTCCACACTATCCTTCAAGGGGGAAAAAATGTGAAGATATTAAAAAAACTACTCCCTCTCCAACTTAATGTAACATGTGATTTAAATATATGGACAGCCCAAAGATCATGAAGCAGGCATTTTGTTTTATTATTAACATCAGAATATTACAAATAGGAAGGGACATTAAGGATAAACAAGGATCTATTTAGTATATATGGAATGAACATGTGGGTTACATTGAGCTGAGGAATGCCTTTTGTCTATCTACTCTCCCTATCAGCCCTCACTCTACCTAAGATACTTCCTTTCTCAGCAAGAGTCTGTTTGACTGTTGCCCTCCCTCACCGTTGCCACCTCCTGCTGGAGGTCCTATTGCATGACATTCACCTGATTCAAAAAGATCTTGCATTTATCTCGCATTATTCACATCTTTGAGTCATCACAAAGATCTTCGCTACTTCATGAATTTTGTATTGAACTATAGGTAAATAGAAACGCTAACTGTGTATGGACGGTTAACAACAGCATTGAGATAAGTTACCAGATAAACTGTATTCGGTGATGTTGGTTAGTAGATAAATATTTCCTCAGAATCATGGAAACTCCAAGAGTACAATACTCCCTGGCTACTCCACTAAGGTGTTAATCTAGATTGTCTTCAAAACCTGGTTTGAGGTTGATCTTCTTCCTTAAGGCTAAAGTGCCACCCAATATGAAACAAGCCAGCAAAAGCATCTTGAACACAGCAGGCCAAGCAGCATCAGAGGAGCAGGAAAGCTGACGTTTCGGGTCTAGACCCTTCTTCAGAAATGGGGGAGGGGATTCTGAAATAAATAGGGAGAAAGGGGGAGGCAGATAGAAGATGGATAAAGGAGAAGATAGGTGGAGAGGAGACAGACAGGTCAAGGAGGCGGGGTTGGAGCCAGTAAAGGTGAGTGTAGGTGGGGAGTTAGGGAGGGGATAGGTTGGTCCAGGGAGGACGGACAGGTCAAGGAGGTGGGATGAGGCTCGTAGGTAGGAGATGGGGTTGGGGCTTGAGGTGGGAGGAGTGGATAGCTGGGAGGACAGGTTAGGAAGACGGGTATGAGCTGGGCTGGTTTTGGGATGCAGTCGGGGGAGGGGAGATTTTGAAGCTTGTGAAGTCCATATTGATACCATTGGGATGCAGTCGGGGGAGGGGAGATTTTGAAGCTTGTGAAGTCCACATTGATACCATTGGGCTGCAGGGTTCCCAAGCGAAATATGAGATGCTGTTCCTGCAACCTTCAGATGGCATCGTTGTGGCGCTGCAGGAGGCCCAGGATGGACATGTCGCCCAAGGAGTGGGAGGGGGAGTTGAAATGGTTCGCGACTGGGAGGTGCAGTTGTTTGGTGCGAACCGAACGTAGGTGTTCCGCAAAGCGGTCCCTAAGCCTCCGCGTGGTTTCCCCGATGTGGAGGAGGCCACATCTGGAACAGCAGATACAGTATACCACATTAGCAGATGTGCAGGTGAACATCTGTTTGATGTGGAAGGTCTTCTTAGGGCCTGGGATG